TTTAACTTTGTTAATTTGGGGGTTGAACTCAGGTTGTCAGCTCTGGTGGCAGACGACTTTCCCTGCTGAGTAATTTCTCTAGCTCCCAAAGGTTCTTGAATATTGTGTTTACATTTGAATCTGTGAATTATAGAATTTACCCTGATTTCTTTGATGACACACTGTGCAAAAGTCGCTTTCTGATCTGTTTATTTCCCTCAGTTTCTCTTGTCATCAAATGGCTATTATCAAGAAAAGAAAAAGCAGCAAAACTGGCAGCTGTGGTGGAAAAGGAACATCTGCGCATTGTTTGTGGGAATGTGAATTAGTCCAGCCACTATGGAAACAGTGCAGGTGTTCTTAAAATGAGCTTCTATACGATTCAGGTGTACTCTCCTGGGAAAATACCCAGAGGAAGGAGAGGCATTATGTAACAGAAATTCCGGAACACCATGTTGATTGTGGCACTGCTCACAGTAGCTGGGTTGTAGAAGTAACCTAGAGCTTATCAGTCGATGGAAGGATAAGAAACAGGCACACGCACACAATGAGATATTACCCAGTCACCAAGGATAATGAATTTATGTCTTTTCTAAGAAAACCCGTGGAACGTGGGGCTATGCTGAGGGATCTAAGAATGTCACCTTTCAACTCAGCACAGCTGTGGCAGCAAGTCACTCCACGAGCACCAGACCCAAGCACAGGGATCTGAAGTACAACTCAAGGAAGGGTGATTTATGCTGCATCACTGAAGCGCTTCCTGCTATGAGTCATGAGCATGGGAGACTGGAAAAGGCAAACTCCAGGACTAGCGCTGAGTGCGAGGTCGTGAGAACAGCCTGCCAGATGAGTCAGGGAGGCGGAGGCTGCATAGCGGACAAAGTCTTCTAGGAACAGAAAATAAGGAAATCGCTGAGAGCCACTTCCGTGTTGGTCAAACCATCTGACACTGTGAACCCTTCCTCCCTTAAACTGGTATTTGTTAGGAATTTGGTTACAGTGAGGTGAAGAATAACTAATACAAGGTATTGGTTGTATCCTGTGTTTTCACAGTTACATTGCTATTTACAAAAAAAGCAGATAGTGGGCTGGGGAGACAGTTAAGGTTGATAAAGAGTGCTGGCTATAAAGTCATGATGGCTAGAACTCAATCCCAGTACACATCACGTAACAAGCTGGGCATTCCCTGGGGCCTATATCCCCAGCTCCCTGAGTGTGAGCGAGTGGGTTTGGTGGCTTCCAGCCTAATAGGAAAGATAGGAGCTTGAAGTTCAAGGAGAGACCCTGCTGCAAAGGAATAGATGGAGACTGACAGGAAAGCCCCCCCCCCCAAACCAATCTCCATACCCGCATCCACTCCCATCCCTAAAAAAGCAATAGGATTTATTAAAAAACAAAACAAAATGAATGAATGAACAAACAAACCCTACCTCTAAAAGTCACTGTGTGCGTCCCTTCTGTGGATCTCAGTCAACCTGTATAAAAGGAGCGAGCCCTGGGCAGTCATCAGGGACCCCTGTAACAGCTGCAGGGCAGAGCCTTGAGGAGCAGTGACTGCATGGGCCCACAGTCCCACTTTGGGGTTGTTGTTCAGCTTGTTGGAGCCCAGAATTCTGAGCTGAGGCCTGATTTCTGTGTCGGAGGCAGAGAATTGACACTGCCCTGTTCCCAGCCATGCTGATTCTGGCCAGTGACCACAATGAAGCCCAAAACTCTAGGCTATATGTAGGACTTATCTCTAAAGGCATGGTGTTTGGAATCCCACAGAAAGTGTGGGCCAGATTAAAGGTGGATGGATCTTCCCACTTCAAAAGATTTGGTTTAAAGGTGGGTCTTCATGTTTCAAATGACTTAATTATGAAAAAATTCTTTACAGATATGCCCAAGAAGTTGATTTAAATTAATCCCAGATGTTCTCCAGTATTTATGGTAGACACTCATTTTAGAACATCCCCTTTAACCTCTGTGTTTGCTGCTGTCAGCAAATGATACACATGCATTATTGGGTCAGGGGCATGGAAGAGAGCATAACTTAAGATTGCAACTATGCATTAGCTTAGGTTGTACAAGCTGATTACTTGGGAAACCCAAGGCAAGTAAGGTTGGTTGTTACATTGCTCTCTTAAAGGCAGCTTAAACAGGCAGTTTGAGTACCCAGTAGGATAGCAGTCTTAAGTCTTAGTGACTTCAAGTGTATTATTAACTTGGCTGTGAGGTTCAGTAAAAGCCCCAGTCTCTTAGAATATTGTAGATCTTTTCTTTCTTTCTTTTTTTTTTTAAAATTGGAACACAATGCCACACATATGGTCAAAACATGTACTACATTTTCAAAACTTGGTAAAAAAAAATTGAAAAAAAATTTCACCCTAGTGCAATGGAAACTCCATGAAATTCATGAGAGTAACCCTAGCAAAGACTCCTAGTAATGGGCGACACAGAGCCTGAAGTGGCCTCTTCTGTGACCAGGCAAAGCCTCAAGTGGAGTCCGGACACAAGCCCAGCCACAAAACCATTGACCTACAGGTAATCTTGCCCTGCTTGATAGGAGCCTAGCAGCATCCTCACCAAAGACACTTCATCCAGCCACTGACCGGAGCAGATGCGGAGTCCCACGGCCAAACATTAGGCAGAGCTCAGGGAGTCCTGCAGAGCAGAGGAAGGACTGAGAAAACCAGAGAGGACATGGGCACCATAAGAGCACAGCCCACAGAATCAACTAACAAGGGACGTGTGGGTTCACAGAGGCCAGGGAGCCTGCAGGGGTCTGAGCTAGGTCCTCTGCATAGATATTAAGGCTGAGTAGCGTGGTGTTCTTGTGGGACTCCTAAGAGAGTCTTCTGATACCCTTCCCCTCCTCCTGGGTTGCCTCGTCCAGCCTCGATGTGATGGTGTGTGCCTGCTCTTACCATAGCTTGTTATGCAATGTTTGGGTGATGTCCTTGGGAGGCCTGCTGCTTTCTGAGGGGTGACAGAGTGACAAGGGTAGATCTGGGTGAAAGGGGAGGTGGATGGGGGGGGAAGGAGAGGCTGAGGGGAAGGGAGGGAGGGGCAACTGTGGTTGGGAAGCAATATATGTGAAACGAATAAAAAAATGGTTTCAATTTAGTACATCTGTTGGCAGATGTTAACCCACTGCATTTAAGAAGCCAGTAGAGTACACATTGTGCCTTTTTCAAAAAGTCCCAAGTGACTTTTGCACACTTGCCATGTTACAAGTTAGTAAAATCCACTAAGAATATTCAGATTTTCTTTTGGCCTCGTACTGGGGTCTTGGCCTATCACAGGCTGGGGTGTTCCTCAGGCATTTACCTTCCGAATGGGTTCAGCCATTGTATATGCTAGATACTATAGTCACTACAAGTAAATCTACTGATCTGAGAATCTTAACAGACAACAAAGAGACAATAAAGTTTTTGTTATTATCCAAATCCAAATGTGACTGGTTTGACATGAGTTTTTTTTTTTTTTTTTTTTTTTTTTTTGAGACAAGTCCTCTTGTACTTCAGGAAGATCTCGAATTTCTGATCTTCCCGTCTGTGCCTGTTAAGTGCTGCAATGACAGGTGTGTGTCACCATGCCTACCTAGTTCATAGGTTATGCAGATCTGGGGGTCAAACTCTGGGCTTCATGCATAGCAGACAACCATACTGCTAACTAAGTTATAGTTACCGAAACTATTTGAGAACAATCACTAGCAAGTTCACTTACTTATTTAAATTGCACTGACATTACTATTACATCATAGAGCACATTTAATGTAAAAAATGAAATATAGTTTGGTTACATATTCACATTGGTTAGAAGTTTACACAAGAAAAATACCCCAGTGAGTTTGTTTCAGATCAACTGACAGCTATTTGTAAAAGTTTTAAGTTAAAACATTAAAGTTATTTTATGATTTTATGTGTGTGAGTGTTTTGCCTGCATGTATGTATGCTCATCATGTGTGTACCTGGAGGTCAGAAGAGGGCACTGAATCCCTTGGAACTGTGCAATTACTGATGTTTGCTAGCCACTATGTTGGTGCTCGCAATCAAACTCAGATCTTCTGCAAGAGCAAGTGCCCTTGACCATCGAGCCATCTCTCCAAGCCAAGATGATAAAATTTAAACATTAGTATTTTCGCTCTGTACTTGAAATAAAGATTTGAGTTGAAATGTCATTATCCCCTTATCTGAAGGATTACAGGAAATAGCGACCCAGGTCTTGGTGGCTTGGGAAGAACACTTGGGGATGGTGGCCTGCATATTTGGCTCCAGTACAGTTCTGATTAGCTCAAGGCTTAAAAGACAAGATGGTGTATGTGTGCTGGTCAGGTAGCCCAATTGGAAAAATGCTTTCTGTGCAAGCCTAAGGACTTGAACTTTGTCTTCAGAACCCATGTAGGAAAAAAAAAAAAAAAAAAAAAAAAAAGAGCCTAATCTCTCCTAGGGAGAGATTAGTGCATTGCTGGGGCTCACGGCCAGCCTGCCTAGTCTACTTGGTGAGTAGGCTATGAGACCAGAGACCCTTCCTCAAAAAATCAAGGTGACCCTTAATATAGGTGACAATGGTGTCACTACGAGACAGGAGGATCTTTGGGGTTGTTGGCCACCAGTGTAGCTCCAGGCTCACCGAAGACCCTGTCTCAGAGGGTCTGTCAAAGGGTGATAGAGCAAAACACTGGACATTCTGTTCAGGACTGCTTGTATGGGCATGTACACCTATGTATACATATGTGTCTATACCACACACACAGATATGCAATGAGAGAGGGAGAGAGATTCAGATAAGGAATGGGCATAATTTCTTGTTTAATATGGACATGTAGACCTTGCCTTTCGAGGAAAACTCTTATTTTTTCTTTGTTATTTCCTATTTCTCTGCCTGTTTCATTGCGTACCCTTCTGTCTTTGTCTGCTCCTTCACAGCCATCCACACCCACAGACTCCCTCCCAAATCTCCAGTTACTGAAATCGCGAATCAGGTTGCCGTGTGTAGGGAGAAGAGAGTTGCTGAGAGAGGAGACTCACATTGCAGTCTAGAATCTGGGTCTTTATTGAGGTTTATTGACCTTTAGAAGCTTTCTGAGACATGTAAGAACCTTCAGGGAGGCCAGGGATCGGCAGGGCTTCAGCAGAAAATAAGACAGGCCCGAGCACGTGGCACAAAACCCTGCTCAATTCCAGCTTCAGATTTCCTCACAGGCTCCAGGCTCCAGATTTAATTCTCCCTCAAGATCTTATTGATCCAGGGCCGATAATGGGAGATTTTGGTGAAGACAGCAGGGGGCTTTGCATTCCTCTGTACATAGGACGCGATGCCTTGGGCTATCCCAGCGCACAGGAGAGGTCCTCCAGAGTCTCCCTGTTGGGGAGGCACAGAGAGGAAATGCATGAACGCTTCTTCCTCTCCCACCCATTTCACCTGGGAGTTGCAGTTAGGTTTGGAGTCAGCCCACGAGCCTGATGCCCAGGGCAGCCACCATACCTACCTCATATCACCGCACACCATGTTCTCTGCACAGCAGATGGAAGATGGATATTTTGTTTCCCCATTCCTGTGATTCCTAAATGCTGTGATTAACTGACAATCTGCTCTGCTTCCTTCTACACTTTGGCCCCCAGTATTGGTTTTTGAAAAAACTAGTAAAAGGATCACCTTGTATACATTTCGCATCTTCTTGGGATTGCCCACACACAGCTGGGGTTCTTGGTGAAAATCCTCAAAGTGTTTGCAGGCTTGGGGATCCAAGATTCTCATCTTCACCTCTTGCAGCGTGTCAGAGGGTGGCTTATTCACGTTTGTTTTGCCCCAGCCAACTGCCCTGCACACTCTCCCAGGTGGGATGGAGTTTGATTTGGCTGAGAATGGGAGGGTTCCCACACCTAGGGTTAAGTTGGCTTTCTCCTTCAACTGTTAAGGGAACAAGGGGCTCTCAGTGAGGATCATGGGCTAGGAGGTAGCTACAGGCAATCAGGGAGGGCAAGGGCAAAATACCAAGTCTAGTGGTGTTGGGGAAGGGGGATAAGAAGGGAGTGCTGTCCTGAAGCAGGACAGGGAATGCTCAGGGCAATGGGACCTGGAGGAGGAATCTAAGGGAGTGCAATGGACGGAGAAACTCATTACCTTCAGTAACATGATGTCGTTGAGAACCAAATGGCCATCATATTTTGGATGAGGGAATTGCTTTTCAACCTCAAGCTTCTGCCATGTGTCTTCTTTTACTTTTTTGTTGTGGGCTCCTAGGAGGACTGTTATAGACCTATTGTGAGGAAGGATAGGGGCTTAGGATGGAGAGTGCTTGCCTAGCACATATGAAGCTCTGGGTTTGACCCCATAGTGCTGTATAAACTGGCACGGTGGTGCCGGCCTATAATCTTCTGTACTTGGGCAGCAAAGGCAGTAGGATCAGGTGTCCAGGGTCATTCTTAGCTACATAGTGAGTTTGAGGCCAGCCTGAGCTACACGAGGCTTCAAAAACAAAACACAAACAAAACCAACAATAACAAAAAAAGGTCAAACAGAAGACATTGACAGCTTCAGAGATGAACATATTGCAGAAAAGGCTGGGATTGCTCACTGGAATGCTGGACTCTTCCCACCCTCTTACTGGGCTACTAGTGATTTTGGATGGCTCAATTTTTAACAAGGACAGCAATGTGGAGATATCTGCACTTGGGCCTAAAGGTAGATCTTGGGCTCAAGGCATCTTTCAGGAGAGAAAAGGCTTCAAGAAAGATGTTGGCTGAAAAAGACACATTTTCTAGGTGCCCCTGGAATTTCTGGTGAATGAGCAAGAAATGGAGGGTCTAGGGGGTAGGGCTAGTAATCCCCAATTTGGAGGGACTTTATATGTCTTGTACATAAGAGCTACAAGCAAAGCAGGAAGTACTCATGTCCTGTAGATGTTGTTCTGTCTTCCTTAGAAATGATGAGCTCAAAAAAAAAAAAAAAAATTATAAAGCAAAACCAAACTAACCAACCAACCAAACAAAAAGAAATGACCAGCTCTGGACCAGGGTAGTACAGACAAGTGAACCATGAGTGTCCCTCTGTTGAAAAGATTTGGAGGAGATACTTTTGGAGAAATGTCCCTCGCCTCCTAGGGGAGCTGCATTTGCAGTGGTTGAGGCTCAGGGCATCTATTTAATATCCGTCTGTCTTGTCAGTTGGTTTAGACTCAGGCTCCCTCTTCAGGCTTCACCCAGGTTTGTCCCAGGATGCTAGCCTGATGGTTTACTTTGCATTTGGAGATAAACAGCACCCTGTCTCACCTTCCTGCACAGTGTGCCGCAGTCATCACGAAGTTTCGTCTTATCAGGAAGCCACTGCAAGCCGACAGGTGATTCTCGGGAGTGACAATTTCCAGATAGGCCATGTAGGGGCGGGCGTGTGGTATGCACTCTGTGCCCCCGATGATCTCCCCTAGAACAGAGAACCCCAGGGCCTGACATAGGTGTGGATGCTCTCTCTAGAGAATACATAGTTGGGTTAAGGCTGGGAGAGGGCTCCCTTGATCTCCTTGCCCTAAATGCTGCCCGTTGTCGTCTCAGGGGTCTTAATCAGCTTTTCTCAGTCACAACTTGCCCTCCTCTGAATAGTCATTTCTTTCTCCAGGCACAGCAGCCAATCCTGCCTTAGGTTTAGGCAGTTTCCCCTTCTGATTTCCCACATTCCGCCCTGGCCCTGGCCCATCTACCTTCCTGCAGCACATGCTGTCCAGGTTCCTCCTGTCCTGCCCCTTTACAGGCACAGAACAGCAAAAGCACAGGGTCATCTTTTGCCTTAAGCCCCAAAGATGAGGAGAATGTGCCTGTTTTCCTGGCATCTCCCTCTTTCCCCAACTTGCTTTAGGATTATACTCCACCCTCTAGTCAACACAAGCTTCTGAGTTCTAGAGACCATCATGACTTTAAAGAATGGGCGGGTGTGTTCCAAAAGGAGACTTCACTCTGAGGCTCTTGAGAAGAGCCCTGAGACTTGTTTCAGACTCCTAAGAATCAGACTAAACTTTGTTGTTTCAGGAGCTGACCCTGCAGATTTGAGAGGGAAGGACCCTGACACTCACCAGCCTTGGCGCTGGAGCCCAGGAGGAAGAGCAGCAGATGGAGAGCAGGAAGATGCATTCTCTCAGAGGGGCTGCTCGAAGCTGGTGCAAGCTTTATCTTTGGGTCTTAGGACTTATTACTCCCAGCAGGCAGGGGAGTGGCAGAGATGTTACCACAGGAACTGTGTGGTCATGGTATCTTCTTTAAGCTGGCTGTCTTCAGGACTGGACACTCCTCCAGAATGATGGTTGTACGAGAGGTGAAATTGAAGCCTAGACTCTTAGATCCCATATACTCAGATGGGTCCTCAACTGTGCATCTGTGTGGGCTAGGGATGGGGGGACAGAATGTGGAGGGATCTTACCTTTTATAGCTACGACAACTTGTTAAGGGTCCCTAGAAACTTGGGTTGAGGGTAATCTTGGTGGTGATTACTATAGCCTGAGGTAGGAAATGTGTTTTGCAGAAAGACTCAATGTTCATATACATGTATAGACATGTACACAAGGAAACAAACATACACAATATGCTATTCAGACAAAGCAAGCAGCTGTGGTTTCCTGAACAAGCCCATAGAAGGTCAAGCCTGCCAAAATCCTGCCATAGATGGGGGAGATCATCTCCAGACCCCAATCGGTATCGAGGGGCTGTTGTCAGTGAATGCTTGCTGGGGGAGGCAGAATTCTTCTTTGTAGAGTATGTAGCCACTGGCTGTTCTAACTCACACACATACGGCAGCACGAATGGACTTACTGTGTTATAAAAAACGACATGAAGTGGGAAGATGTATTAGGGGATGGATATGATTGTGTTTCATGGTATGGAAAATTTAAAAATAAAGGCAAATACATATAACAAAATATAATATTCTGTTAGCTTTCATGCCACTCCATTCCATTCCATTTCACTATTCTATATATTTAGCTTGAACAGCATTAGCTTTAAATAATGATTACCTGAAATTTGAAACACATTAACCCGCATTTTCTCCTCTGAAGCAATGTTTACCGTCCAAGGAAGAGATAGAGAGGAAAAAGAGAGCAACTAGAGGAGGAAGCATACTCCAGGATAGGATTCCACATGCTTCAGCTTCATGCTTCAGGGATGGTATGCCACTTCCTCAGTCTGTCATTCCACGGGATACCTTGTTGCTTTCATAGCAACCCCATCAAATAGCTATTATTGTTTCAGTTTGGTTGACCTGACATTTAGGGTTCAAGGGTTAAAACTCAATCTTTCTGGTTTCAAACCCATGATTCTTTCTGCTCAATCACAGGAGAGAAAGAGTCTTGCTAAGTGTGAGAGGAGGGACAGGGGTATGAAGCAAGCGATTTTCTCTGGAAATGTTTTCTGGGCTTGGGGGACGGGTCAGGGCTAAACTGAAGAATACAATGATAATGTCTGAGAGTTAACACTCCTTTTTTTTTTTTTTTTTTATAACTACCTTGGAAAATACTATCACGGTCTGTTTACAAATGTAGAATTGAAACTGAGACCAAGACTACACTACCTCTAACTATTAAAACCCATTTCAACCACCTTCTTGGTGCTCTTCTACATGGAAGAGCAGTCCACAGAGGATTAGGCAGGACAGTGGAGTATTGCTCCTCTTGGAGACCAACAAGAGATTAGTTCACAGGTGGGAGCCTGTAGAGGGGTAAATGCTTCTGGCACACAGTTCCACCATGCCCTTGTGTCAGCCTGATGGGGGATGTCCTTCTGTATATGTTTCTCTTGTTGGTTGATGAATAAAACACTGGTTGACCATGAGAGACAGGAAGACAGGTGGGGATAGGAGATGAGGAGCATGCTGGGGAGAGGGAGGTTGTAGAGAGACGCACCATGTAGAGACTGGGAGTATAGGACATGCCAGGCGTTTTCTGGTAAGATAAGGCCATTTAGAAATACACAGATTAGTAGCTATGGGTTAGTATTAAGAGAGAGCTAGCTAGTAAGACGCCCTAGCCATTGGCCAAACAGCTTTATAATGAATATAGCATCCATGTGTTTATCTGGGGTGATTCGGCAGAAGAACCAGGCTGGAAAGAAACCCCAGTTATAAAATCAGCCTGGGCTCATGAGCATAGTGACCCATTTCCTAATATCCATCAGCTATGTTGCTCTCATCTGAACTTTCTAACCCTGTCCACATCTTTGACCCTCCCAAGAATGAGACATTTACACACAATTCCCCGAAATCTTCCCGCGTCCAGACATTTTAGGGTTATCAGCTTTGCTTTCTTCACCCTCCAGGGTTGCCACACAAAGCACAGAGTGCCCAATTAAACATTTATTTCAGGGGAACAACAGTGACATCAACCCCCCACCCCCAGCAACATCCAGACTTTGAATGGAACCTCTCCTGAAAACAGTTGTCTATCTAAAGTTGGAATTTAACTGTAAGTCCTGTGTTTTCATTTGCTAAAACCGAGAGCTCTCCTCTGACACTCCACCACTGGCAGGACAGAGGAGGATGTGGAGCTAGAGAAGTCTTGTCTGGTGGCTCTGTATCTGTGAGACCAAGCCCAGAGGCCTAGGCAAGGTTTTTCACTTGGGTTGTTGAAACGGAGGGGTAGGTCATGTAGGACTAGGTGATAGCTCCAAGCATCATGGCTCAGATCCACCAGCATTGAGTGTGTTTCATCTGCTTGTCTGAAGATGAAGGGTAGAGACAGATAAGGTTCAGTCCACTGCAGAGCATCAACCTCATAAATCTCGTTCCATGATTTGCCTGCCCTTTCTTTATCAGTCATGAGTATAGTCTTTCAGAATTCTGCTTTCTCTTTTGCCCCCCTTTTCTGCCTTACTTGCTGGTGTACTTCTTAGTTTAATAATGGTTTGAAGATTGTGAAGTTGGGAGTGAATAGTTAGAAAGGAACGGGGTCACTAGGAGATCTTGTCTTTACTGAAAGACATTAACAGATGAGACCTATTATTTTTATTGTCTCAAGGAAGTCCTGTTAGGTCCTCTTTTCATTGCTGTGGTTTGAGGGTGCTGTGAATGATGGAAAGACATGGCAGCAGGATTGTGAAGGGGTGGGTCCCACTGTGTCAGGGAGCAAACAGAAAGTGGGACTATAATGTAAAACTTAAAGACCAGCCTACAGCGTCCAACATCCTCCTATGAGGCTGTATCTCTAAGGGCTCTACACTTTCCAAAGGAAGAGCCTCTAGCTGGGGACCCAATGCTCAAAGACGAGTCACAGTAAACTGCTCAAGAGGATTGATCAATTCACAACATAATATTGTATATAGTATACACTCAAAATTTCCTCATTTACAAAAAATAAAGCCATTTGGAATACTGGACTGCCACAACAGAATAGGTTATAGAGTGCATACAGTTCTGACAGGGACCGCCAGCACCCAGGAGTAGTTATTTCCTTTCCTTTCCTTTCCTTTCCTTTCCTTTCCTTTCCTTTCCTTTCCTTTCCTTTCCTTTCCTTTCCTTTCCTCCCTCCCTTCCTCCCTCCTTCCCTTCACCTCTAATCTCTCTCATTTTTCTTGAGTGGCCTTGAACTTTGTATGTAGCTGAGATATAGCCTTGAACCCTGATCCTCCTGCCTCTGCCTCTCAAGTGCTACGGTTATGTGTGTGTACTGCTGTGCCCAGTTTAAGATTTGTTTCTTAGGAAATACTTTTTAAATGTGGCACTAGATTGTAATTAAGATGTTCAAGATATGTTCAGTGCACAAAGGTGACTCTAAGCTAATGCTTTAGTGGCTTTGAATTATGGGCCAAAATGCAGGGCATAGTGGTAGACACTGCAATCCTCAGTAACTGGAAGGATGAGGCAAGATTGTGGCACTTGTCTCTGGCTAGCCTGGACTTAATAGCAAGACCTTGTATAACACAGGACAGAATGAAGCAAAACAAAACAAAAAAATAATTCGTGCTTAAAAATAACACAAAGTCGTATCACTTCTGTAGTAAGTCTTTCTCTGTCCCTCCAGCCAGCTCCCAAATAATGATGTGGAGACTTCTTACTAATTATGAAAGCTCATCCTTAGGCTTGTCCCAGTCGCTCTTACAACTTGAATTAACGCATTTATGTTAATTCCACATGGCATTACCTATCTTCCACCCTGCACCTCCTCTCTCCTCTCCTTGCTTGCCATGAATGTCAGCTCATACCCAGCAATCCACAGTGGCACACCCTTGCCAGGAAGTCAGTAGTCAAGAGTGTTAATTTGGCCAGAGAGTTGCCCTAAACAATTCTCTACTCAGCTTAGAGAGGGTCTAGCTGCCAGTGAGGGACTGAGTCAGTTTAGAGCAAGGAGCGAAGTCTCCAGCAGCTGGAGGTCACATCTTTATTAAGGTGTCTTAGGGAATAATGGAGCACCAGGGCACTGTGTGTCTTTGAGAGCCTCTCAGGGGACAGGCTGGAGACAGGCTGAGGCAGGCTGGGGCAGGCTGGGGGCAGGCTGGAGACAGGCTGGGGCAGGCTGGGGCAGGCTGGGGCAGGCTGGGGCAGGCTGGGGCAGGTTGGGGACATTCTGGTACAGGCTGGGGCAGGCTGGGGACAGGTTGGGGACAGGTTGGGGACAGGTTGAGGACAGGCCGGAGACAAGCTGAGACAGGCTAGGGGCAGGCTGGGGTCAGGTCTTTTAAACCCAAGGGCTGCCAGAAGAGCCCTGTCTTGGAGACCCTGACTCAGACTGGCAAGGCTCTTCAGCCACTTGCTCTTATGACTGTATTAATCCAGGGCACATATGGGGAGATTCGGGTGAAGACTGCAGGGGGCTTTGCATCTCCACGTCCATAAGATACAACACCATGGGCCACCCCAGCACACAGCAGAGGTCCCCCGGAGTCTCCCTGTGGGTTAGAAAAAGCAGACTGTGAACAAAGTCACCTTCCCCCAACTACAGACCCCTCACCATAGCTAATCCCAGAGTAAAAGGACTTCCCTCTCCTTGTGAGCCATAAATTAGGATTTAATTTTTTCTCTGGTCTCCCCTCACTCCCTTCTTTTCTCTTTGGAGCCCCGTGGGGAGGTTGCAGGCAGGGTTTGGACATGGGAATGAGACCTGGAGGGAGAACTTCAGCTCCCAGAGTGCTAGGAACCTAAGAACACAGTGGAGAGCTGCTTGGCCCCCTCCCTCCACAGACACTGTCTCCTGAGGCAGGGAGGAAAAGCGGGTGTGTACCCACCTTGTATGCTGATCTTATCTTCCGGGGGTTGCCCACGCAGACCTGGAAGTCATACTTGTAATTCAGATAGTATTTGCAGGCTTCTTTCCTCATGATTCTCAGTTTCACCTCTCTCAGTTTTTCTGATGTTGGATCTGTCACCCCAGTTCTTCCCCAGCCGGCTGCCCGGCACATCTTTCCAGGTTTAATAAAGTCAGACGGACTAGGCAGGGGAATTGTGTCCACAGCAGGAGTCTTCTTAGCTTTCCTTTGAAGCTGCAGGGGGAAGGAGAGAGGACGTGGAGACCCAGAGAAGGATGCTGTCTTGGACATGGGTTTTTCCCCACTGGGGTGGTAAGGACATGGAGTTCAGGGGCGGGTTCTGAGGAAATGGGTCGGACAAGAGAAAATTCCAAGGCCTGAGCCAGGGGGAGAGTTAAGGATGGGAGAGTTGAAAAGGGCCAGAAAAACAGTGGCACCTTCAGCAACATGATGTCATTCAGGTTGGAATAGAAGCTGTAATTTGGGTGAACAATTTGTTTTTTGACTTTTATCTTCTGCTGTGTGGATTCTGTCTTGCTCACATCATGAGCTCCAAGGATGACAGTAATTTCTCTGTTGAAAGAGAAAAGAGGCAGAGACCGCCTGAAACAGAGTACAAGCTGATCCCACATTCCAAACAGCTGGACAAAACAGCCCTACAGACTACAGCTAGGATATCTGAATCTTCTTCGAATCCCCCAAGACAGCGCCCCTTACCAGCAGGAAGTAGTTTGGAAAGAACGACGCCCAAATTCCCAAATATTGTGTATAAATGTTTGTTTTCATTTAATTGGACTTTGTTATATAAAATTAAATAAAAAAATAATAAAAAAAAAGAGAGAGAAAAGAGGCAGTAAAAAGTGCAGGTCTCAGGAGGAGGATCATTTTCGAGCAGAAGGACACCAGGGTCTTCCCCATCCCAGAGCAGAGCTGCTTGAGAGACCCTGATTGTACTTGAGGCAGTGCTCCCAGCCTTACCAGGAGGAAGGAGCTCAGGGAAAGACAGGCCTGAGAACTAGCCTTCCCCAACGCCCAGTATTGGGACTGAACTTTGCATGTGGTGGACAGGCGCACTATCATTACACCCTAGCCTGTGACAGAGAGCTGTGAGGACATCAGGACAAGAGGAAAGCAGTACTTTGTGCCTACTGGGGCCCTGCTTACAGCTCTGCCCTCTGAAAATGCAGAGCAAATTAAATGGTTCAGTGAGTGGCTTAGTGTCCCTTTGTCCCCTGGGTGTGTGTAGGAGCCGCTGGAGATGAGCAGAGCTGGGACCTTGCTTACCTCAGGCCTGCCCTGCTTTGTGACTCTGCTCTGTGCACTTCTTCCCACGAAGAGGAAGAAGCCTCTTACCTTCCCTTGCAGTGTGCAGCCGTCATCACATATTCTGGGGTTATGAGGAACCCCCCACAGCTGGCAGTGAAGCCTTGCTCAGTGATGATCTCCAGATAGGCCATGTAAGGGCGGGAGTGTGGCCTTGACTCCACACCACCAATAATCTCCTCTGGGACAAAGAACCCGGAGTCCCCGTCACAGACTTGCAGAACACCCCAACACAGTGCTGGCAGAGGAAGTGACTGCTCCCCAGCCTACCCCACCTCTCACGGGGCTCAGGCCCCTCCAAGCATTCTTTGATCTTTCCTCTCCAGTCCTACCTGTCCACCATCACCCTACATTTCAGAACACAGTGCTCATTCAGGTTTCTGAATTGCCAGTTTCTTGAGACACTTCTTCCTGTCTCCCCTCACCCTGTCTTCCTCGACTCTGATGGAAAGCCAGAGAAGAGCTGCCTGTCACAGCGGAGCATTTTGATGAAACAGTGTGAGATGGAATTCATTATTCATTCTTACTTGACCCAAGAGATTTCCCCTGGACTCACACATAAAGGACCCTGCCATTTTAGAGTTCGATTACCCAAGTTAATGGATTTGGGCCAGTTGCTGAAAAAGTCAGAGAAGGAGAGAGAGACCAAACTCACCAGCTCCAGCTTCAGGAGGCAAGAGAAGGGCCAATAGGAAGAGTAGGGCCTGCATTTCCCACTGGGGCAGCTTGTGGTCAGCATCTGGTGCTCCTGCCCAGTCCCTGCTTTTATAGTTCTAGAGTAGGAGAAAGGGAGGGCTGGGAACCACAGAGCTGGCCTGGTCAAGCTTTATCTTCCTTCTCAGAAATTCTCATGACTCTGCTCTCTGCTGGTGTCGAGTCTGTGACCAGATTCCTGGATCCCATGATGAGGTGCCCACTTCCCCCCTCCAAAGCTGCTCCTCAGTGGACCTGGGTCATGAACCTGTCCTTGAATGCAGCCAGGTGTTATTGTCATCTTTGAGGTCCCTGCAGCATATGTGTCAAGACTCGCCTCTGTCGTTGTAGCACAAACACAGGCATCTGTAGAGTGGGTCAGACATATGGGTATGAGGGCATACGTCTTCACAAAGACTGGTGGTGGGCCGATTGGCAAGTGCGAGGGCATCTCAGACTTACTGTAAGCAGCAGATGATAGAATGTGGCTGAGAGAGAAGAAAGAGTGGAGAGAGTATTGAATACTCAGTATACCAGGCAGGACAGAGACCTTATGCCAGTGGTTCTCAACCTTCCTAATGCTGCGACCCTTTAATACACTTCCTCATGTTGTGCTGACCCTCCCAACCATAAAATAACTTTCTTTGCTACTTCATAACTGCAATTTTGCTACTGTTATAAATCATAATATAAATATCTGATATATCAGAAATCTTCTATGTAAACCCCCAAAAGGTTTGTGACCCACAGGTTGAGAATCTCTGATTTAGTCATACTAATAGTCATTTTGGTGGATATTGTAATACACATTTAGAGAGCTCAATGGACTTTTGGGATATCATGTAATAGGGAAGATCATACGTTTAATTAGTTAGTTTCAGATACTTAGTGCTTTCAGTTCCAGTGGGATGAATAAAAAACAACAGATGCACGAAGTACCACACCTACATCCTGCAGGGGATCGCAGACTTCCTGTTTATACATTGAGAGCCAAACTTGCCTGATAACAACATACCTTCCTTGAAGATCAGTATTTCAGACTGTACTGGTTCTTTCATCATTTCATATACCACTGGGAGTCAAGCACTGCTCGCAGTCAAACAGGAACATGCCATTGTTTACACATTTTATTTTTGCTTATTTGATTACAATTTGAAATGAAAAAAAAAATGCCGTGCATCTTGGAATAATTGACATACTGGTACATTTCTGGTCTGTGCTTTCTTTAGACCCCACTAACCCTGAGTATTACTATTTCCCTGTTACAGATGAAACTGAGCCTTGACAAAATGTCATAGACATTAAATACCAGAAATTGCTCTCCAATCAGTTGCTGCTTGACTCCCTTCTAATAACTGTTCCTTGTGCCAGCCTGTTTTGCTTGATTGAAAACAAACAAACAAACAAACAAACAAACAAAAAAACAAAGCAAGAGGAAGTAACCAGCCGATCCCAGGGGTCAGTCCACCTGTCTACAAGCTCATCAGGGAGCGCTACCCACATAGGCTTTCACTTCAGATTGGACCCTGTAGAATAGAGAGCCTCACTGGAAGTAAGGACAGGGACCGCTTCTGTTCATCAATCTAGACATAATTTAAAGATCTTTCAGATTGTGTTGTAAGTGATAAAATGTAGTACTTGTAGGAGTAAAATGATTATTTGGCATGCAGAATAACCCTGCTACTTAACCAACGTCGCCAATGGGTCTCTGCAATGCAAGACAGGGCTTTGGGTGAACAAGCATTTACAATCACAGATCACAGGAGGGTAAAGCAGTTAGGCCATTGTGTCTAAGTACTCAAGAACATAGGCAAGGAATGTGATGGGCTTTGGACAGTAGTTTTGGTGTGAGGAATTTTTCTTTGTAAGACAGTGTTTTTTGTTTTTTTAAATTTTTTTTTCTTATTTTACATATCTATCCCAGTTCCTTCTTCCTCCCTCCCTCCCTTCTTCCCTCTCTCTCTCCTTCCCATCCCATTCCCCCCTCCCCCCACTCCACAGGGAGGGTGATGTCTTCCAGGAGGGGTCAACAAAATCTGTCATTTGGAGTAGGGACTAGGCCCTCCCTCCTGGCTCTAGGTTAAGGGAATATTCCTCCATGGGGAATGTGCTCCCAAAGTCCTTTTGTGCACCAGGGATACATCCTTGTTCCACTATCAGAGGTCCCTTAGACTGAGACCCATGTTCAGGGGTCTGAGTTGGTCCAATGCTGGTTTCCCAGCTATGAGTCTGGGGGTCCATTAGCTCCTCCTTGTTCAGGTCAGCTGTCTCTGTGGGTTTCTGTAGCCTGGTCTTGTTCCCATTTTCTTATTACTCCCCCCTCTCTGCATTTGGATTCCATTTCTGCTCAGTGTTTAGCTGTGTGTGTCTGCTTCTGTTTCTATCAGCTACTAGATGAGTGCTCTATGATGGTAGATAAGTTAGCCATCGATCTCATTAGCCTTTCCACTGTTGCTCACATTGTTAGTTGGGGTCATCCTTGTAGGTCTCTGGACATTTCTCTAGGTTCAGTTTTCTCTTCAAACCTATAATAGCTCCCTCTATTATGGTCTCTCTCTCTCTCTTGTCTATTCGTCCCCCGAGTCAATCTTTCTGGTCCCACATGCTTTCCTCTCCTCCTCTTTCTCCTAATTCCCCCTCCACTTATTGCCCCTCCCCTCCCCCACGCCTAATATGCTCAGGAGATCTTGTTCCTTTCCCCTTCTGTGAGGGACCTTGTATGACTCTCTTAGGTTCCTCCTTGTATCCTAGTTTCTCTGGTGCTGTGAATTATAGGCTGGTGATCCTTTGCTCCATGTTTAAAATCCGTATATGAGTGAGTACATACCATGTTACTCTTTTTTGACTGGGTCACATCACTCAGGATGGTTTCCATCCATTTGCCTGTGAATTTCAAGATTCCATTGTTTTTTTCCAGCTGAGTAGTATTCCATTGTGTAAATGTGCCACATCTTCTTTATCCATTCTTCAGTTGAGGGGCATCTAGCTAAATCTGAACAAAGTTCTGTTGTACACATATACTACATTTTCATTATCCATTTAGCAGTTGGTAAGCATCTAGGTAGATCCTAATTCCTTGCTATTGTGAGCAGGACAGTGATGGACATGGATGTACAAGTCTCTGTGTTTGGATTGTGCTCCCCTGGCATTAGTCCAGGAGAGGTCATTTGGGTCATATGCTAGAGCTGTTTATTTGAGGAAATTCTACGCAGAGCTCCACAGCACCTACACCTGTTTATGCTCCCACCGGCACTCAGTCAAGGTTTCTCTTTACTCACACTGTTGTTCCTTGCCGCTCGTGTTGATGCAGGCATTATTTTGGAGACAGACTCTCTCTAGGTAACCCTACCTGTCTTTAACTCCATGAACCTCTGCTTCCTCAGGGATGGCAGCTATTCTATGTTACTCCAGGCTATCTATCTATCTATCTATCTATCTATCTATCTATCTATCTATCTATCTATCTATATCTATATCTATATCTATCTATCTATCTATATATATATATTAAAAGAATGTTGTTTTAATTTTTGGCATTTTCTCGTTTGTTTTCTCACTATCTTACTCTTTCATACTTTGAGAAACAAGCTGTTGTACTTTGCATAACCTCATGGGGAAGACCACATGGTGGGGTGATGAAGGAAGGCCTTCTGCTCCAAGTCCGTGGCATGGAGGCCTAGTCCTTTGGGACACAGCAGTGATCCTTACCTCTAGCCTGTGGGGAATCTTCCTCTTCAGAGGGAAGCTAAACAGTCATGCTACATTTGCTTCTCTTGTGATCCTGTGATTCTGCCTGCCTGCCTGCCTGCATGTCTGTCTGTCTGTCTGTCTGTCTGTCTGTCTGTCTGTCTATCAGTTCTTAGCACCAGGCTTTATCAGAAAGTTTCTTCATCTTAGCCTCCAATCTATTAATGGTCTTCTTACATCTTGTAGGCTGTTGGGAGCTGTCCTAGCAAAAACATTCCTTTTCACATGCTTCTATGAGGCTTATTTCACTTATCATTGTTGCTGCCAGTGTGAAGCTACCCAGTTCCAGGACCAGGGGGACAGGAGTCAGAGGTCCTGGCCTTAGTGTACATGTTCTGAGCCCCTTTCTGTGGTATCAAGTAGGGTGGGTACCTCCTCAATTAGGGCCTCCGTGGAACTCTTCCATTAGCTCTTCAGGATCTGAAATCAATGATTTTCCAGATATGTTCTTTCATTCTCTCTTACTCTTTTCTCTTTCCTCACTCATTTGGATTTTGGGAAGCAAAGTGATGCAATTTGCATAACTTTATGGTTTAGGCCACCAAGAGGGGTGATAAACTGAGCCTTCAGCTCTAAGCTTGTGGAATGGAGATCTTGGTCTATGTAGACACACCCTCCCTAGTGTGAGAATCTTACTTTTCAGAGGAAAGTTAGCCACACATAGTATATCCAGGAAACCCCATGCTTTAATTTATAGTTTTGCTGGGTGCAATAGTCTGGATTTTTATCTATGATGTCTTAGACTTTGTAGAACATCCATCTAGGCCCTCTAGCTTTCAAGGTTGCTATTCTAATGGGCCTGCCTTTATATGTGACTTGGTGTTTTTTCCTTACAGCTTTTTATATAATGCTTTTTGTTCAGTACATTTATTTAGTGTTTTGATTATCATGTGTTGTGGGGAGTTTCTTTTCCGGTCCTCTGTATTTGGTATTTGCTATCCCTCTTGTACCTTGATAGACATTTCTTTCTTTAGATTGGGGAAATTTTCTTTTATTATTTGGCTAAAACATTCTCTGCAACTTTGACCTGGGTTTCTTCTTCTTTATAGCTAGTGTGTGTGTGTGTGTGTGCGTGTGTGTGTGTGCGTGTGTGTGTGTGTGTGTGTGTGTGTGTGTGTGAGTTCCAGACTCCCTGGATGTTTTGTTACTGTAGTTTTAAAGATTTAGCTTTTTCTTTGGCTGAGGTATCTATTTCTTGCTTTCAATGTCTGATATTCTCTTTTCTATGTCTTGTACTCTGTTGGTAAAGCTCACCTCTGAAGGTTTTTTTTCCTCTTTCTTCTTTT